CCTTAACCTCATTTTCATTATGTTTAGTTCTTGTGTTTTAGTCTGTTTATCAATTACCATAACCAATAGGTCAACTCTTTGGTGTATGTAATAATTTTGAGGTTACATGTCTGTCTAACAGGATTTATCTGACCTTGACCTCATTGCCATAGATCTTTAAAAATGTTAAGCTTGTGTGATATAAATAAGAAGATGTGGTATGAGCGCCAATGAGACAACTATCCATCCAAGTCGCAATGTGCAAAAAGTAAACAATTATAGGTCAAAGTACGGCCTTCAACACGGAGCCTTGGCTCACACCAAACAGCAACTATAAAGGGCCCCAAAAAGACTAGTGTAAAACAATTCAAACAGGAAACTTGTATTAAAACCTTAATCTTTAACTTTCAATATAAAATCAATGGTCAGTAAAACAGGCGAGACATTTCAGCGAGTGCACTCTTGTTTATAATTAAGAGTAATTTTGACAACCATATATAAATATGAATATAATCAACTTAATTTGAAGATGTTAAGCCATAGCCATAGCCAGACCAGAGCCAGAAGTATATGTGTAAAAAATAGTAATAAAACAGATTATATAAAATATTAACAGGCAAATATTCTGAATGGGATAAAGAACATTTTATATGTGAATGTCCCCTTTATAATCTTTTCTGATAAAAATTTGGAGTTCAATTGGCTTTTTATTCAAGAAAACCTAGAATTACTGAAAATTATTGGAATTTATATTTATAAATGTTTCAGTGAACTCAGGAAACTATCAATATAGTTTAGTCATGTTTATGTGTAACCCGACATGCATTTGTTATATAACCTTGTCTATCTTTAAATTCTTTTAATTTCAAATATTTTTCTATTCCAAAAAAAAAATGAAATTGAAAAATAGTCAAAGAGTTTACCTTTATCAATGTTTATCTGATTTGAGATTACTTTCTCTAAAATCTTTAAAACAATTCAGAAAACTTTCATATAATTTATCCTTAACTAAGATGTTAATGTGTGTAAAATATTGTTTTAATAAAGAGGTGACCAAAACATATGCTTGAATTGGCCATTTTAGGTCAAATACGTAAATTTTGACATATTTATGACATCACTAGTAATCTTTCTGCACTTAATGTCCAGATTATATACATGTATATCAGAGACATATGTATTATATGTCTCTGTATATATCTGTGTTTTTGTCTCGGCTCCGACGAATGTCGCGGAAGGCGAGACAACAAGTGTTGCTTTTCCGGCGGCGGCGTTGGCGTCAACAATTGTGAAGTTTTCTACTTAAGTCAGTTTGATGGGAACTACTTGTGATAGATCAATGATATTTTTCTATAAAGTTGCATTATTATCAGTACATACCAGTTTGACGACTATTTCGTGGCCCTGTCACCGTAGGTGATGACCTTGAATGTATTACCAATTTTCAATGTTATTTTTTCTACTCGAGCTAGTTTGATAGGAACTACTAATGATGGACAATAATATTTACTATAAAGTTGCATTTCTATCAGTACATCTCAGTTTGTTGACCATTTCGAGGCCCTGTCCCCTTGTTCATGGTCCAGCGATGTTGCTATCCATCGATTTGTCTTTTTCCGAAATTATAGCCCACAGGCAAGACATACCTCTTAAAATTTCAATTTCACAATTGGGAAGCTGAAATCATCCCTTTTGTCGTAAAGATTTGTTCTCAATCGAACTTCATTGTCAAATTCTAGATGCAACTCTAGATATGAGGCAGACTTGACTGTATATGTTGTATCTTTTATTTCAAGTTCGATGGGACAGATGCGTTCAACAGTCACCAAACTTCGAATTATTTAGTGAGAGGGCATCATCTATAAAATGGAACATAAAGCTGTAGGATATTGTATGGAAGCGCATATGGTACACCCCTTGTAAAGTTATTTTGTTGCAAATAAGTTGGAATTATTAGTTATGTTGTGTGTTATAAGCTGGAATCAAATCAACATGTGGAGTCAACTTGTCGGAATGATGAAGAAAAATTGCATTACAATGTCGACCTGCTAATATAAATGTAATGACATAGTAATAAGAAGACGACATGTTGAATTTAACTTGTAATTGATTAAGTCGACAACTTGTTCATTTCATGATGAGGTAAAACCACGTGACCATTTTGGAAAAACATAGTTCTATTTTTTAATCGATTTCCATATGTCGTTTGTTTAATGTGCTTCGGATGAGTGTCGCTATCCATTGAATTAAAGTTCGAGTTAATATTTGGTATGAAAAGGGGGAACGTCAGTCAGATATCAGAAAAAAGTACTAAAAAATAACAATATTTCGGACATAAGGGGGATATCCCCACACCACTTGGTCCGGCGTTTATTTTCCTCAGTTCTCAAACTGAAGCAGTATTATACTAAATTCCTGAAGGCTTCCACGGAACCCTCTGTCTCGCATGAGATTGCTGCTGTCAGTGTAAAATTGTAATGTTGACTTTAAAAGTTTATTTTTCTGTAACATACAAAATTTGAATAATAGTTTTTTCTGTAGTTGCTAAAATCTTGATCTAGAAGATTAACGCCTATACAAGTTTTATAACAATTCATGGAGGTTTACAAACTTATCAGGAAAAAACAGTTTTGCTTACTGTAAAAAAAAATTGTCCTGTTCCCTAGTATCTATGTAGAATCGCAGTGAATTATACACAAAGGAAGCGCACGGGGAGGGATCCGCTAGCTAAATAAAAATAAGATTAGCAAAACCTTTACCGCAAAGTAAGCTATGAACGATTTCGAAATGACATGTAAAACTACTCAAACATGAAAAACCTAACGATTTAAATGACGAAGACGCCGACGCAACTTCTAATAAAGTTAGGAGATGTGGTGTGATTGCCAATGAGACAACTAGCCACCAGAGTTTAAATGAAGTGGATGTAAGCAATCATAGGCAGCTGTACGGCCTTCAACAAATCGTATAGTCGGCTATAAAAGGCTTGTTGGAGTTATCTTCTTTTGTCCATGATTATAGTTGAATCAATTACAATCAATGCTTTATACAATGCAATGTTTAATTTTGACTTCCACTGATAAAACACAGATCAAGTTGAATTTGGGTAGTGTCACTTTAACCATTATTGAGTTATGCCCCTTTATAAATCGAAAGATTGCAAAATTTTTAGTTTCCATTCTGTTACTTAAGTTTGGCCCAACCAAACATTATGAAACCTATACACAATATTCATTACCACAAAACTAAGATCAAGTACAAATTTTTTGTTTCCGTTTTCTAACTTTAGTTTGCCTCAACCAAATGTTATGAAACTTATACACAATGCGTATTACTACATAATACAGATTAAGTACGAAATTTGGTGGCGACACTTTTACCATTCTTGAGTTATGTCCCTTTTATAAACATAAAAATTGCTGAATTTTTCGTTTCCGTTCTCTAACTTTAGTTTGTCTCAACCAAATGTTATAAAACTTATACACAACCGTTCTAGAGTTATGCGTGTTTACAAATAGAAAAAAATGCTGAATTTTTAGTTTCTGTTCTCTACTTAAGTTAGCCTCAACTAAATATTATGAGACTTACACACAATGCTTATTACCACAAAACTCGGATCAAGTTCAAATTTGGGTAGCGTCACTTTTACCGTTCTTCAGTTATAACCCTTTATAACTATATGACATGCAAGCGGGGGCATCATCTGTGGACACTATCCACATTTATTTTATTAGTTTATCCTGACTTTTTTTACGTAAATTGTTATCCTGCCTTTTCCTTTTTGCGAAGTTTCTCATCCTGCCTTTTTTTAGTCGAAACTCTTGTCCTGCCTTTTTTTCAATTTCATCCTGCCCCCCCCCCCCCCTAAAAATCAAATGGTAGCTCACTAAATCAAGATATGTGTTTCTACGTTGGTCATATTTTTTTTATGAAACAATGTTGGAATAGTTCTTTCAATCTGTCTTTAAGTTTAGAATGGGGTATACTAGTGTAAAGGTAGAAAAGTCAGATGCTTTATACTATTGCAAGAGGAAAGAGACTTAGATTGTATGAACTCTAACATACCTTGCCAATTTTTAGTTTCACATTTGATTCACACTGCCCCTAGGGTAAGTAATCTCACAGTAACTCTGAAGCCCGGTTTTGATTAGTGATAAAATTGATGTTATTAGTTTGGAAAGATTTTTCGTGGAGCACTTGGCAGACACAGCAATATAACGTATGGACACTTCTATAATATTAATATCCGGTACAGTGAAGGAAGAATTGACCAAAAATAGAGTTTTGGGGGTAGACACTGCTTTTGGTGTCAATTGCGGGTTTTAATTTCATCAGCTTTATGTAATTTTTTTTGTATTGCTGATTTTACTTTTTTAACAATTTCCGACTATCTATATTTAAGTTTCAAGAATATATATGCAAAAACGCTAATATCGGTCAAATGTCGACTTAAAGGGCGTCTGGAGCGCTTTTCTAGACTAACCTTCACAAGGAGCGCTCTAATGTACGTTGATATGAAGAAAGTGAGTAGATCTTACACATCCTGAGCACTCTTATCTCTTTCTGATATGTTATGGATTGGTTGTCAAAATATTAGACAACTACATGCATTTTACACTTGTATTATATGTTTATCAATGGCGTCCATGTTAGATAGCTTGAAGAAAAGATCACACAACGTTATACTGCATACACAAATTCGGGTTAGGTTTTGCTGAGTAGTTGAAATCGGTTAAGTTGAGAAGATTGTTTTTTTTAAAAATGACGGCGAACAACGACGAACGATAACAGACCCCAGAGGAGAACAAAAATAGCCCCCAACGGACGACAGAGAAAAACAAAAATAGCCCCCCCCCCAAAAAAAAAAACACCCTAAAAAGAAGGAAAAAATGGAGAGAGATAGAGAAAAAGACGTAACATGTGGTTACCTTACGTAACCCTATCATGATATAATCGTTGTCCTTATCAACTACTACTGCATTTTATTATCTTTGTACTGATATTAGTCTGAGGAAGTCGTATGGTGCTTTCAAATTCTCCATTGAAATAGAATGAAATTGTGTAGTTTTTTTCTGTTTTTTGGTACAGTTATTTCAGTAGAAGATATTCAAGACCAGCTGACAAGCGGATTGTGTCTGTGTATTGATGCGAACTATGTCTATGCCAGAAGTGACCGTAAGCCTAATTTATTTTTACACATTTAAGAAATTGCTTTTATGGTTAACATGTCGCGACCACTAAGGTAAATTATTACTTAGGGACCGTCTTTACCTTACTACAAGTAATAATCCAGTCATTTCGTTGTTGAAAACTGTCCTTATATGAATTGCATTAGGATATTGTAAAACTTATATCTATCATATTTTCAATCTTTAATTGTGAACATATGAAATACAACTTAAAACTGCATCAATTTATTCTGAATCCTTATTACAAAATTGCATTTCTATAGCCAGTTGTCGCTAAAATATTTCACAAAACAAAATTTCAAGGGTGTTTCTACATATCTATAAGTAAAAGAATGTACAGCACATAATTGAAGCACTTCCGTTCCACTTTTGTGAATCTATTTTTATAAAGTTGTTGGCATCTTGTTTAAGAAAAATTAGGCACTGACTACGGTTACCCGCCAAAAGTAACAATAAGAAATAATTATTGTTACTTCCGAGACTAATTGCCGAGATGAATATCCGGAGAGGAACCCAATTTCATACGGAAATTCCAGCAGCAGGTAACAATACTATAATTTTTTATTGTTACCTGCAGTTATTGTTACCTGCAAAATATATCAAAAATGTTTGATTTGCAAGCAATATGTGAAAATAATTTTATTAATTAAATTATGATGTAAATACATTTACATGATTAAACTTCCAGATATTGTGACAGTTGTGGTTATGCCATCGATATCGTTTTCGTAATACATATGCATTTGACTAAATTTGTGGCCTCAAAGTTAACAGAATGGTATGCTGAAGGCCGTTCGATTGCCTATAATTACTTACAACCACTTTTGAATTCTGGTGAAAAGTTTTCTCATTGGCAATCAAACCACATCTCCTAATTTTTATTCAGATTTCTATGTTGCGTTTTGTTTACTGTAACATGGTTGGTCTTTCGGTCGTTTTTTGTTTTTCGCATGACATTGAAAGATAATTTTCGACTTGTGAGTTGGAGCATCACTTCGGTATCTTTCGCCTCTCTTTTGTAATACTGGAAGAAATTTATCTTAACTATTTGTATGCAAATAATTTAGAAAAAATAACGCATAGAACCATTGGTAGGAGAACTTTCACTTTACGTTCGAAAATTTGTGTTTTGTGTACTTTTTTCTTATTTTTTGACTGCCGGTTACCCTATAATGTAGGCATGCCCCTCGGTCCACTTTTCGAAAGCCCTGGATCAGCAAAAAAACCCAGTTTGGAATGGTACGAGTTCGCAATGGTACGAGTTCGCAGTTACACGAGATAACATTGGTACGAGTTGAATTTTAGTAGTCCGAGTTCATGGAAATCGGTTTAAAAGTAGAACTAATTTTTCCCAAATGGTCACGTGGTTTTACCTCATCAAGTAATGTGATAACTACATCAAAGAACGACAGAACCACATCAAATACTGGAACGACTACACCATGTAGTGTTAAATCGTCAAAATTTGAAACATCAATATTTAAAGTTACAGCCATATAAAGATTATTGACAAATAATCATTACGAAATAACAAAACCACATCATGTTATGAAACAACTACATTACGTTAACCCATATACTCATCAAGTAATGTTAAAAGCACATTTCCTAATGACACAACCACATTAAATAATATTGGAATCAGATTAAGTAATGACAAACCAATAGTAAGTCATGAAAACCCATATTAAGTATTGACAAAACCATAGATCTATCAAGTCAATACGAAACCCCATCATGTAATATCGAAACATCATTAAGCAGGGGCGGATCCAGGATTTTGGAAAGGGGAGGGCGTAGTATTCCTTTTTTTTGGCTAAAAAACATAAAATAAGTGTAAAATGCATTTTATAGTTAAAGTGTAGGGGTTGGACATTTTTGGTGCCGTATTCCCTCCATCAATTGTCTATTATGAAATGATTGCATGGATGGATCCAAAGCTATGTACTAATTAATATATTTGATGTGGGATTTGTCAGTAAAAAATGGACATGGAAAATTCTCGTTTGTTGTATGGTTAGTTAGCATAACCTCACAGATTTCTTGTTGTAAACAAGATATACGGCTATTCTATGAAATTTACAATACGACCAACACGAAGAAAGACAAACAAGCAATTTTCATCCAAATGTTTGGTTGAAATTCTTTTACCCAACAAGGGAAGAGAGGGGTTCCAAATCAACCAACGGCTACGAATTAGTCGGAAATGACAATGAAGTTGTGAATGACGGTCGACACATGGAGACATATAGGTCACACCCAGCAGACCGGTTGCAGTCGGGCCTTGAAAAAAGTATTCAGTATATCAGTTCGGCGAAACAGACATTCCGGTCAGATATGGGATTCACATGCAACACCCGCCCCCCCCCCCCCCCAAAAAAAAAATACGCCCGTTTTTTATTCATCATGGTCATTTAATGCTAAATAATTCTGTTGAAAATATGTTATTCTAATAGCAAAAAAGTGGACAAGGTTATTGTTTTCAATCCAGATACGGCCAGAATTTTTGTTTAAGGCAAAAATCAGTGTCAGAATTTTTTCTCTAAAATATCTCAGACTGCCCCCTCAGATCAAATGGTCCGTACCTTAGACTTTAAATCTATATCTAGAGCTTAATGACTGGGGATCACTATTCAGCATTGTTATTAATGGGCTGGGGCATGTGGGGTTAAACATGTTTTCGTAGGTAAATAATATTGCTGTGGAGCTTTTTTTCATGAGAATGTAATAGTATTACTTTCTGTTGGGTGGAATTGTAAAATAGAAGTCAATACGTTCTTGCTCAATACTTAGTCGCTTTGAAGGCGTCAGGCTTGTCATCCTCAGCCTAAGCAATGTGTTACTGTAATTTGAATTTCAAAATGACTGAGTGACGTTTTTTTCGACGAACTGGTCAACTCCACCGTAGAGAATCACATGACTTTGACATAATCAATAATATATTACAGTAAATACGAGCGAAAAATATCTTTATAAGTAAAGAATTGTCGCATAAAAATTAAATACACGGGAAATGGCAAAGTTCACGAAGTCTAGTCTGATTAATCATTTTACAAAAAAAAAAAAAAAAAAAAAAAAAGTGCAAGCAAAGGGGGGCGTACGCCCTCTACGCCCCCCTCTGGATCCGCCACTGTTTAGTAATATCAAAACCATATTATGTAAAGACAAAATATCATCAAGTAATAATAAAGCCACATAACGTAATGTCAGAGTACCACATAAGACAGCTGTGGCGTTCCATGCAATTTAGTTATAATAATATTCAATTTCCTCGGACCGTACAAATAAAACGTTTCAACTTTACATAGGAGACTATCATTTTTCAATTCTTTCTTAAATTTAGATATATATAGAGTCGACGCTGCGAATATTTTTTGGATCAAGCTTATTCCACTCACGTATTGTGGAGGGAATAAACGATTCAGTAGTAAGGGAAAGTCTACAAAATAGAACAATAATATCATGACCATTTCGCAACGGATAGTTAGTTGTACTTTGTACACATGGGACAAGATTACATAGGTACTCTGGTGCATGTTTTTTATTCATATTATAAAACATCTTAGCTTTTCTTTTCTTCTTCTTTCGAAAAGAGATTCCCAGCCAACCTCAGAGTACAAGGTTTTAATTTTAGTGAAAATTGGTAGCCCGGTTACAATTATTGCGGCCTCTTTATTGCAAGTTTTCTAATTGATGTGAATAGTATATTCCACAATAATCCCACCCTTCAGTGCATGGCATATTCAAAAATGGGTCGAATAAAAACTAGGTACAGTTTTCTAAATTATTTCCAGATATTCGGTATTTAAGTTTACGCAAAACATTTCTTGACACTTGTAATATTATACTTTCAACATGATTTTTCAATTTTGCGTCACTTCTTAAATGAACTCCCAGGTGCTTATGAGATGTACTTACAGGGATATTATTACCATTTAAGGAAAAGCTTAGGTCTGGAATCTCGATATTTGAGAAAATCATAATTTCGGTTTTATCAGGGTTAAAGGACATAATAATTTGGTTGACCAATCATCCAGCTCTTTCAGGTTGCGGTCGATAACAGATCTTATCTGTTCTCCGTCGTTACCAAAATAACTTGAAGAAGTGTCATCAGCAAATAGCCGACACAGTGATGTAAGCTTATCAGCAATATCAATAATATATAAGATAAAGAGAAGAGGGCCCAGAACTGATCCCTTGGGAACACCAGCTGAAACATTTCAAAAGAGCGAAGACGAATTATGTCATGCTTCTCTTTTCAATACACTAAGCTTTCAGTTTGCATATAAGGCCTCTGTGCCAAACTTTGTCAAAAGGTTTAGAAAAGTCACAGAATACAAAACAATTTATTCTTTTTTTTTCGAAAGAGTTTAATATGCAGTTGTATGTTTCTAAGAGTTGATGGACAGTTGAATTTTTAGGAAGAAATCCTGGTTGATATTCATAAATTAATTTATTAGCATGTAAAACTTTAACCTTTAACTTTTATTAACACTATAGACAGTTTACACTGTAACAAGAGACAGACAAATGATAGAAATGATATTTTATAATGGTGAACAAGATAGAAAGAAATATATACATAATGATGTCAGTTACTTCCTAAAGCAATAGCACATTATACCTTATTCTCTGTACACAAGTATACACATTAATAACACGTGAAAATCGTTCAGAACTATAATATTTGGATTTAAGATCGCCAGTCGAATAAATGTAAGTGATGATAATATATTTATAATCATAGATAACGTTTTTTTTTGAAAATTGACAAGTTATTCAAGACTTTTACATTACACAAAGACAGCAGACCTTTCATTTTATATTCTGAAGGGTTTACAATGTAGTAATTTGGGATATATTTATGTCTTAATTTTGTTACCTCGTCATTGCGACATACAAATAAATAATGAAACTGATTTCCAATACAATTATTTTTACACAATGTACATAATCTTTCTTCTTTTGGAATGTTATGTCGTCGAC